TGTGCTCTACAATATTGTGAGTTCTGTGCTACCCTAAATGTACGTAGCTTTCTGCATCAAGCACACTTGTCAGGCACATGCAGGGGACTAAGCATAGGCTGATGCATTCAGGAAGTAGCTTAGCCCACTGCTAAGGGAAAGCAAGCCTGAAAATGGGAAAGATCTTTGCTGGTGAGCTGGGGAATTGCCACCACCTGCAGTCAGACTGCACAGTCCTGTCATTCCTCAACTAGCATTCAAGGAAGACTCCAGTCTGGTGTTCTGGAAACTGCCACTTGTCTAGATAAGCTCTATAAATAAAAAACAATCCCAAGAATGATGCTGTATATCTGAAGGGATCAAGTCTCTCCTAACGTTCGGTCTGCAGAGGATTACAACAGGTACCCTTACTGTGGGTACAGAACCCCCACCCTTCCACCCCTCACGCCACACACGTCAGCGGTGCTGTCGGGGGAGGCTGGGCTTCCACTGTGCGCAGCTACAGCACTAACACATCAGCGCCCTGAGCCTGACACAGCGGTGCCCCTTCAGCAAGACCATTAAGTACTTACAAAGAGGACAGCTCCACAAAAGTACGGAAAGCAATCGAGAAGAGGAACAGGAGCTGGCAAGGATCATTTCCCCTACACTCATCACTGATCAAAGCTGTCAAATAGATTTTGAATAGGAATAAATGCTTTAGTTAAATCAATGCAAAATCCTGCAGTTAATCATCACAGTTATTTAAATCACTTCTATTGAGACAGTGATGGATAATATGTTCTCTTTTTTTCAGAAGGTAAGACAATGATGAGTATTTTTACAGAAATCATAAATACATTCAGTAAAGGTGGAAAAAAAATTAGCCATAATTAGCTCTTTGTTTGTATTAAGCAGAGTTGATAAATAGAGCAACAATTCATTCAGAAATAACAAAAGTCAGGAATTTTCTTCTGGCAGAAGCTTGTATCTATAACAGTTTATTATAAGGTCTAGTGCATGTTTCTCTGAAATATGTTATTGGTTATTGTCTGCAGGACAACAGGACTCTTTCCTTTAGTGACTGGGATTTTGGAGACAAAGCAGATGATAGAAAGTCTAAATTACAGTTTCAATTTAAATCTTGATTTCAAATAATAGAGTATTAAACAGAAAAGTCATTCTCCATGTCCTAAAATCTGCAGCTGGGGGTTTAGGGGTTCACTCACTTTATAACAAATCACACCATAATGGAGTTTCTTATAAAACTATGCAACAGTACCAACTGCTGAAACTTGAATAGAGCTGTAAGGGTGAAAACTTTATTAGGCTACATCCCTTAATTCCAGGCAGCAAAACGACGATTTCAACTTTTGTACAACTCCATTAATAGAATTACTTCAACAGACCCTACTGAAATACACAGCTGACACTGAAATGCTGTTTTCCCAAGGAAGTCTGTATTTTAATCCTTAACTGAAAATTAAAAAGAAAGCTGCATTATTGGCCTTCTGTTTTAATCTTTTTAGGCTTTTTATGTTTCAGAACAATAATTAGTTTGGATGGCTCAGGACTGAAACTATTGACAGAGTGACCATCAATAACCTTTTGACATACCTATATGTATTAGTATTTAAGGCCATGGAAAAATAACAACTCTTTATTAAAAACTATAATTACTAGGTGTACTTATTCCATAACTCTTTTGCCTAAAGGACACCACTTTTGTGGCCCAAATTATACCAATAAATTGTATTTTTTACTGGCTCTTGTGCTTTAGCACTTCACCTCTTACCTTTCAGACAAGCACATGAGCATCTTGCAGCAGATAACAAGTATTTGTATGTATTTAGATCATGTCTGTAACAAGGGTCTGCTGTGCAGGACGGAGCTGATGAGAAGGCCAATGCAACTACACCAGCCCCTGCCTGCAGACGAGCCTGCCACCTCCTTGCAGGAACACAGTGACGTGAGCCCAGCTGGGTGGTACTACTACTGCTCTTCATCATAACGTCATCCTATTTTTAGGCAGCTAGTAAATATTGGGAGCTATGTATTGGGAAGTATGCCTGTATAACTGAAGGCACTCACAGTGTACACAAACAGTTGCATTGGTTTTACATGTTCTTGGGTGCCACCTCCTGCCACTTTATTTCTGTGTGCTATTGACAACCCAGTGATTATAAAGCCCTTCAGTACCTCTGCAAAGGGATTAAAGTGCAAGTGGAGCTATACAGTGTGTCTGGGGATGAGCAACAAGCCTTGATGGACTGGCCTTTCCCCTGCAGCTGCCTCACAGGTAAGATCTCCCAGCCCTGGAGCTTGGTGACAAGACCCCTGAGCAGACCCAAAGGAGTTTGCTTACGTCTTTCAGAGCCAGCCCCGTGTTATTAGTCTTGACAGAAGTAGCTGATGGTGTCGTTTGGTGTGTCCTGCTCTATGTTTCTCTGCATAGTCCATGGCAGCTGCATTATCTGGTTTTCCAACCACCCTATTCCTCTGGATAAACATTGCCATGATACTGTATTGGGATGGCACCTGTGTAACTGCTCTGCAAATACAGCCCCTGCTCCAACTAGACTACTCTGAGCAGGAACAGCCTGTTTGTGGCCAGAGTCCTTCTATCAGGAAGGCAGAACAGGGAATGGGGAGGACAAAAAGCTGCATTTTAGCAAAAGTGAGTGTTGTGAACTAAATGTAATGCCAACGTGTCAGCTAGTTTGTATGAGGAGTGAGGGACGCTTTCACTTCATGTAACTCCTGGCTAGTGAGAATCTTTCTGCAGACAGATGGAAGGAGTTTTGGAATTGCATTATCCCAGTTTGGGCATCTCTAAGTCAAGAATAAAAGATTAACTTTCTCCTGGGATCCCATTAGTGGGAGCAAGGGGATCAGTTAAGCACTTTCCACTCTCCTTACTACATAGGAAAAGCTTAATTCAAAAGGGTTGAGTAGTTCAGCCCATCATCGTATGAGTGTATATGCTCAGTATCTGTTCCAAATATTAACAATATAAACAGTTGCAAAAGCCTGATGAAGTTACAGTTTAGATGTTTAACAGTTTGATAGCTCTTAGTTAAGGTGCCATACAATCTTATTTAATAAGGCTTGAAGTGTAATTTTCAACTGTGATAAATTTACTAAAGCCTGACTAAGGGACATATAGGCCTATTTCACTGTATCAACTAAATGGCTGGCTCCTGATTTACAATTCTAATTCTATCAAAATATCAAGATTATATCTTGACACTTGTTTATTCCACCACTCTGGAAAAGGCTAACTCTGAAGCTTCAGGAGCCCTCTTTGGAGATTCTTCAGGCAATTGCACACAACTTCATAGCTCAACACACTCAGCTGCTCAGAAAATGTCTTATTCTACTGCCGTTACTTTATCAACAGGTTAATTTCTGAAGATACTGGTAAAATTAAACTAACTTAATTTATTCAGTTTTCCCACCATTTTGGGTTTTAGTAATGTTTTAATAGTTACAGAAAGAATAAAAGGTGGTTCAGACAGGAAGCTGGTCTTTGTCCCTTTCCCTGAAGCACTGAAGTTGCAGGCTGAATTAATAGGACACTCCAAGAAAGCGAGTGAGAACCCACATCTTCTTACATGTCTGTACGGTACTTAGAAGAATACTGCAGAAATGCTAGCTGTCATTCTACATTAATGGTTGTGTCTATCCCAACAGAGGCATCAAGATTCTTTGTCAGTACCAGGAAGCTCCTGTGTAGGAGCTTAGAAACGTGATGTCTGCCCATAACTCCCAGCTGAAAATAGCCAACACTGCCAGTAGGCCCGAACACTGCTGCAAGAGCCACAGACGGCTGCGCACAAAGAATCCGCTGCTGTTGGTCAGGAGTGAGGAACAGAAGGACAGCTAGACCAACCTTCTAGCGTTTTGTGATGCCTCTGTAGGTCACCTCACTGGTAGGGAATAACAAACCACAGAGCATCTTGAACACGGGAGGAATCTTTGTCATAGCTGTCTTTGTTCTTCATTATTTGTTTCTAGTCCCATTAGCTTAGTCATTTTGCTTAAGGAGTCACAATTATTGAAAAGACTGGTTTCAGGCCAGCTGCTGCAGGAAAAAGAGTTCAGAGAATCATTACAGAAGAAATCAGGAGATGCATAAAGCAGAATACTCCTCAGACTGTTAAAAACAGATTAATTTTTTTTTTAAGTCAAGGTAGTCTTAGTAGGCTCTTAAATAAGGATACCTGTTTCAGATTTGCTACTGTAATTTGTATCATGTTCATTCCCAAGGGCCAACTCAAACTATTAACCTTGTTTTGCCAACTAAATAAGATTCTTTCCATTTCAATTATCCCACAACTAATTGCAAGTCTAGAAGCAATATCATGTTTACATCTTCTAAGCCTTATTGCTATCACATTATACACACACAGCCCTCATCACCCATATTATAGCTTTTTGCTGCTTGTATACTAAGAATTATGAGATGGTATTAGCAAAATACCATCTTAATACCAGTTAAAATACCAGTTGCCTAAAGATTGTGCACTGAAAGGGAATATGCAACAGTAGGTGCTAAACAATGAATAAAAAGGGAAAGTACCTGTCTTTGCCTCTTTAGAGCATCCATTTTATATAGCAAACATATATTTAATATATTAGTGACTTGTGTGCTTAGGTAAACCAAGCTGACAAGAATATAAACTTGCAATGACTTAGTCTGCAATCACATTTTCATGATTTATACAACTATGAACAGTGATTCAGGCTTGTGACTCTTGAAATGAGAGAATTAGACTAATTTACCTTTGCAATACAGGAGCATGAACAACATTCTTGAGGTGATAGGCTGAGATAATTTCATTATTGACAACTTTCTTCATTTGTTGCTCTGTGTAGATGTACAGAACCCAAAGATTTGTTACACCATATTTATGCATTTTCAGTATCAAAGGTGTAATCCGTATCATTCACGATTTATGTGACCACTTTCAAAAAGTACAAATGACAAAAATCACACAGTAATGCAAAAATATATTCTACAGAGTCTACTTGAAATAAACTTTTATTTTTTTTTCTCATCTGGCTTAATCAGAAGCTGTTTTGCTCAGGAAGCTCAATAAGTTAAATCTAAAGCCTTGTTTTGTAACTATGCTGGGCTTTTTCACAGTGCCTGGGTACAGCTGTACAGTTGTAGGTGGTGTGATATTATCACACCATTATCTAGTAGTTTAACACACAATATCTATACATAAAAACATTAAACATTGAGTATCACTATATACAACTGAGGCTTGAAGCACCATCTAGCTGGAGATGGACAGAATTAAAAGACCACTAGGCACCTAAATAAAACTAGTTGATTATACTTTAAAACTTCGTTATGACCCAGAGTATTGGGTCATTTCTAACCATACTGCAGTGTGGTTGCAATACTTCTAGGAATAAAATCAGCAATTAATATTTCTGAGCTGCCAAAGTCATTCTTGAATGTACTGACTTTGGATGTACTGGTTACTTACCAGGAGCACATCAAAGATGCAGTGGCATCTCCCTTGGTTAAAATGAGTTAGCAAAACTGCCTTTGCGGAAGCTTCTTGAACAGTTCATCTCCATCCCCACATTGCTAACCATTTGGAAACTTTATCTAATTAAGTTTCTTTTCGGTTGTCCTCATTAACGAGTGGACACAGTATGGAACCAAGGCAACTACAGTCAGAGGCATAGCTGCACTCTTACAAAAAGAGAGCATGTAGAACAAATACTCAGTATGAGTAGGTATCTTAATGAAATTATACAGCTGCAGTGTAGCTAAAGAAGCAGCTATACACAATATGCGAAAACTTATCTTACAGCTATTTTTACCTTTGCAGCTCGTGATGAACATTTCAGAATTAATTCCGAGACCTAAGCCAAAGAGTGCACCTAAATTCCTCACCAGTCCAGCAAATGGAGTTGTGTCAATGTTTATCCAGTCTGGGTTGGCACACCACTTCTTGGCCTTTGGAACAGACCACAGCAAGTCAATATCAAGAAGCTTCAGGACTAGATAAAAGCCAAGAGCAAAGATGAAGAGAAACAAGTTTGTCTTGATGTACATTCTCAAGCTTGCTGTCTGAATAGCAGGGGTATGCTCAAATGCTTCTGCCACAAGAATGCCTGCGGATTAGAAACTCAGTGTTACAGGGAACAACACACGCATACTTTGAAGAAGCACTTTTTACAGTGCCCCTGTAGAATTTCACTTTTGAAGACAGAAGAATATATCTATGTATTTTTTTATATATATATGTATATATATACACACACAATTTACCACTTCTGTAGTACATGACAAAACATTTTCTCCCACTCAAACCTGCTAATTTGGAAAAAAAGAAATTAAATACCAAGCACTACATGGTTTTGATATGAGGCATGCCTTAGGCCTGACTGCATCTCCCAGTTGACAACTATCAAATATTAGATGTAAACTAGAACATTCCTTTTCCACAAGAGTCCTCCACTCAAAGACTGGCCCCAGCAATGCAGAATTCAATTCCAGTTCCTACACAGGCTTCGAGTGTTGAAGGAAAAGACACAGAACACACTTATCTTCTTTCTCACTCATTTTATCCTGGTTGTGAAAAGGGAGAGTTGGACTGCAAGGTGTTAGCCAGTGCTGCCCAAGCTGCTCTGCATCCACGAAAGAGAACGGGAGCAGGCAGCCCCCGCTCAATGCTCTGCTCACCCTCCTTAAAACCAGATAGATACTAGAGAGATTCTTCATAGTTCGAACTCCCTAAATACCAATTTGAAACCTGTTTAAGTAACTCTGAAAAATGTACTTTAGCTTCTTAAATCACCCTGGGGAGTCTGCACTGCTAATTTGCCTTTTCTCTGTTTTGCCCCAGGTCTCTGGCCCCGTGCTTGTCCACACTGCACACATGCTAGTTTGTGCCTGGCCACCATTTGAAGTGAACCAAATAGCTTTCTCCTGAGGGAAAGGTCAGGGCCATATAGGAGCAACTTCCTCTCTGACCTCTTCCACACAGGCAGCGCAGATAAAGATCAGATGCAGCCAGTATAAACCAGATAGCGCTATTCTGTGGCAGTGTGGACATAATGCAGTCAGCATCAACTGGCACATGGACAAGGGCTCACTCCCTGTGTGAATTACAAGGACAGCAGATACATACTACCTCATAAATTTTACCTTTAGACTATCATCAAATCCTTCATCTTCCAGAGAGCGGAGAGCACCAATAGAGCTGCACGCTGAGTAGCACTACTAAAAACCTCTTGCCTTTTCTGATACTTAATTTTTTTCAGATTTTGCATATATGTTGAAAAGAAAAGAAAAGATAGCAGCATTACCAGCAAATACTCCAAGAATAACTTGATGTGGGAAATGTGTTGCTATGAATACTCTCGAGATGCACACACTGATCTGGATAATCCAAAAAATACTCCAGAGGAATGACCATGTCAGTCTAAGAGGGAAAAGGAAGATGCTTAAAAATTAAGACAAGATATTTCACCTAGTAATTTACACCCCTTGTGTGTCAGGCTCATATTTTTACCAACCAGAGGTTTACAAGTAGAGAAGTTTAGAATCAGATGATTAAAAACTGGAAGTCGGTACTAAAACATTAGCAAGAGTGGTTGCTCTTGTAGCCACATCTAGTTTCAGGTCCAAGACACCACCGTGGTTTTAGTGACAAAATTCATCAATGTCAAGTTAAATTAGCACTAGTACCTTGAACATATTTCTCATCATGAAGTCATACTTAAATGCAAAAGTTCAATTATTTGGTGACAAAATTCACATAGTATGGGAACAACCTTGTCAGGCTTGGAAAGAACAGCCATCAAAGCAATTATAAGACTGCCCCACAGAGCTGAGTAACATGTTACACTGAACTTTGCCAACAGTATGCACATTTGCTTTAAAATGGGGTAAGGACTACCATCAAAGCAGTAAACTTATGTACTAACCAAAAGATCCAACGTGTGAAGACAATCAATAGAATTCAAAATTTCCAACACTGAAGATGTGACACAACCTTTAATAGGAGCTGATTCAGAGATATTGTATGCAATGACCATAAGTTAATAAACACCAACCTATACAAATGGATAAATCCTCTTAATATTCTTTTTCTTCAGCTGAAATAGATCATAATAAAGGTGGGTTTTTTTTTTTACAAATGGGACAAAACAGACTATGCATGTTTGGTTAAAATAAGTCCATTAAAAACATAATATGTATATAAAGAAATACCTATATGAGTTAGAATAATGGAAAGACACTGACCTGTGAAGGGTAACTGCTGATTTATCTTTCCATCTAACTGTGTAGCTAAGTGCTGCTGTGACCATTACATACCAGACGCAGGAAGATCCCATGGCATGTCCAGACGGGCTTCCTAGTAAAAACAAAAAGGAAATATTCAAGCTTAAAAATGGTGACTGTAACATTTGTCGTATAGAAAATGTCTACTGGCAGTTACACAGGCACCTAATCATTTAGAAAGAAAATTATTAACAAAGGCTGAAAGAATGTCAACTGCTTCTCAAAAGTTAGTTTTCTCAATATGAATTTTTCAGAAAACTCATCTATACAGAATCCAGAATATTTGTCTGAAATCAAGCAGGAAACAGCTTAACCATCTTATAGTGGTATGAGCTGGTATCTTGATTGGAAAGCACAGTATTTTTCCATTACTTAGATTTGGATTGTGATTTAAAAAATAGAGTATCTAGGGCTCTCCTAGGGCTGTAGCATACAACGTGGAAGTTATATATGAGGATCAGATGAGATAGGTTTTGAATGGGCTACCTCATAATTAAGGGGAGCAACAGAGATTTAGCTCTCTGTAACATTCTAAATTAAAATACCAGTATAACTTCAGATGGCCCTTCCAAATTGCCTTTTATCTGCTTCTTCAATTACCATGGCGTTAGCAATTGTGATTGTGACCTGTGCCTCATTAGTAATATTACAGTCCAGGTAATTCACATTTTAGGTAGTTTTGTAATAAACTTAGAAATGTATCTTAAGTGTGATGGAAGAACTGTGTCTTTATGCTTTACTTTGATATATTTTATAAATTTTAAGGTGGTGTACAATTTCCACTAGCTTGGAAACAGATTATCAGTGGAACTGGCACCCGAAATGATGCCGTAACATATTGGACTAATTGCTGTACCCACAGTAGTCTAACAGGGAACACACTCTCACACAGAGATCAATAGTGATTTCTTTTTAGACCAGGTATACTAATATACGTGTAATTTGTTTTAATTTAACAAATCAAATTTTAATTTTACTGGGAACAATATGAAGCCACAGAGAAGTTCCTACAACTGTGAAAATCACCAAAAAACAAAGTATGCTGGCATGATGCAAGGGAAATGATTCCTAAAATTACTCTATCGCTTCTTTTCCCCCGTTCACCAGGTTTACATTCAGCAAATTGAAATAGGGAAGGAGAGAAAATTAGATCATTGGAATCTGTCTATACCAAACTTCTACAGCTTTCTGTGGAGACAAAAGAGAAGTAAAAAGGACAGGGTTATTTCATTGGCAGAAGAAGTAATTTTGGCTGAAGAATGTGTTATGACCCAGCACTATACAGTAGTTTGCAAAGCAAAAGAATATTTCAGTGAAGCAGCAATTAGGAATGTCTAGGGAAGACAAGCACAATGATTTCTGGCTCCCTGCACTCATTTTCGGTATTCTGCTTGGCAGCATCTTTAGTAGTCATGCTACCAACTCTTTGGTTAATTTCGTAACAGATGTACGCTTCTAAACCTCACAACAGAACAAATATCACTGATGAGGAAACCATAATGTTGTATTGGGAAAGCTTCTCTTTGTTGTCATCTAGGAAAATGTCATCTAGGAAAAATGTTTTATAGTTCATCTGCAAATTACCTACTAGAAACAGCATAAGCTCCACCTTAAGGTTTATGCTCTTATGTTCTTAAAACCTTACAAATACCAGAGAAAGATGGCTGCAGAATTTTAGTTCAGTTCATTCCAGAAGTACAGACCAAATTCAGGTCCTAGATTGCTTGCCATGTAGTCATATAAAAAGTTCCTTCAGCTTTCCCTTTTGCTGAGCTGCAGAGTTTGGGGTTCAGGCTATCCTAGCAGTATTTGGATATGCCCTTCTCACGTCTGTCGCTGCTTCTCTAATCTTTTCATATAAATTGCATATTTAAAAAGTGTGTGAAGTACCATGTAAGCTCACACAATGACTGTGTGCACCTAATAGTTGCACTGACTGCAACAGGTGAGTGACAGATATTGTCAGTGGTCAAGGGCAAATCTGGAGGTGGGAGAAAATGTGGTCATTATAAGTACAAATAAGGAATCGATATGACAGCAGTACCCACTGGACAGAAATAGGAATGACTTGTTACTTCAGGAAGAAAGTAACAGGAAGAAAGGCCTTCTGGTTCAGTGAATCAAAATCACAGAATCATAGAATAGTTTGGATTGGAAGTGACCTTTAAAGGTCATCTAGTCCAACCCCTCTGCCATAGGCAGGGACATCTTCAACTAGATCAGGTTGCTCAGAGCCCCGTCCAACCTGACCTTGAACGTTTCCAGGGATGGGGCATCTACCACCTCTCTGGGCAACCTGTTCCAGTGTTTCACCACCCTCATTGTAAAAAATGTCTTCCTTATATCTAGTCCAAATCTACCCTCTTTTAGTTTAAAACCATTACCCCTTGTCCTGTCGCAACAGACCCTGCTAAAATGTTTGTCCCCATCTTTCTTATAAGCCCCATTTAAGTACTGAAAGGCTGCAATAAGGTCTCCCCGAAGCCTTCTTTTCTCCAGGCTGAACAACCCCAACTCTCTCAGCCTTTCTTCATAGGAGAGGCGTTCCATCCCCCTGATCATTTTCACGGCCCTCTGGACCCGCTCCAACAGGTCCATGTCTTTCTTGTGCTGACGGTTCCAGAGCTGGATGCAGGACTCCAGCTGGAGTCAGTCTCACCAGAGCAGAGTAGAGGGGCAGGATCACCCTCCTCGACTGGCTGGCCACGCTTCTCTTAATGCAGCCCAGGATACGGTTGGCCTTCTGGGTTGCAAGCCCACATTGTCGGCTAATGTCCAGCTTTTCATCCACCAGTACCCCCAAGTCCTTCTTGGCAGGGCTGCTCTCAATCCCTTCATCCCCCAGCCTGTATTGATACTGGGGGTTGTCCCAACCCAGGTGCAGGACCCTGCACTCGGCCTTGTTGAACCTCATGAGGTTCACAAGGGCCCACTTCTTGAGCTTGTCCAGGTCCCTCTGGAAAATGAAACACTTTGACTGGTTCCTCAGCCAGGACTTGGAATTACATGGTGCTGAATGGGCTCAGTTCTGAAGTCTTTTGAAAAGACCTGATGGACCTTAATACTTTGGGTTAGGTCCCAAATGAATTCACTTGAAATAGACTGCAGATCACATATAGACCAGGCATTATTAAACCCTGCCTGATACAAGGGCTTAAGCTTCTTGTTCAAAATTACAATGGGATATAATGCAGAATATTGTTAATGAAATACAGCTCTGCAAACCACTTGCAGTGGCATTGGCGAGGCGCAAAGCACTTTCATTTCCACAGTCAATATTTTCTGTACAATGAATTAAACTAAATTCAGTCAGTTAGCTCCAAGCGAGTTTAGCTTATTTCACATATCAGGGTTGCATAAGCTCACTTCACTTCAGCAGTATTGCATTTGAGTTGCACAGAGAAGACACTGAGATATAAAAAAGTGAAAATACATTGGAAAGGTACATTTTTTTAAAGATTTTTTTTCCCATATATTTATACACACAGCCCCCCCCACACATTCAGTGCCAGTGTCTCATTCTGGGAAGAGTGGTTCCATTTTCCACTTGTGATACTTTACATGATCGATTGTTGATACTATCGTTATTTACGCTGAATCACCTACTAGTTTTTGTGGTTTGAGTAATTCTTTCAATAGTGCACAAGCCCTCAAACTCAACAGCCCCCTGCTCTGTTTTGGAACACTCTTAAACAACGTGGAATTTCTCTCCCCAAGCTGATGTCATTGGCACTGCACTGTTCCTAAAAGTGACCTCACAAAGCAGGTGTATTACTCTTTCTGAACCTATGACATAAGTTTTGTGAAATTTCCTTTCCAATACACTGGTTCATTCTAGTAGGAGTTATTTTTAAAGCAAATCCCCCTCCCTTGCACTGTTTAAAGGCAATGAAGTAAACATTCTTGTGATACAGCAAACAAATACCTATCACATTTTATTTCTTCCATTTTCTTTTCCTGTGTTTTGGTGCTATTTTAAACATAAGCTCTGAGATTTGTATATCATGTAAGACCTTCATAAGTCACATCCTCTCCCCCCAAAAAGCCGCTACCTCTATTAAATGTACCAATGTAATCTCCAACATTTCTTACCTGGTCCAGTTTCACATGTTATAGGAAACTGTTCAAGGCATGGGCTTGACTGATTGGGATAAATCATTGTTTCCTGCACCCACCAGTATGGGCGATGGCCAAATAAAATCCTGACAAAAAAAAAAAAAAAAGAAGCAGAAATGCAATAAAAAGATTTTTATGTAAGAAGGCCTCAGCAAAGCATGATAAATAATCTTACAAGGAATATGAAGAGCTATATTGCCAAAACTATTCTATAATAGTTCTACAGGTTCTTCTTGTCTTATCAAAATGTTATTTCAAACATATCTTAAATATCTTCATTGTGAATTCCTGTTTTATAATTACAGGGGAAAGTCTACTAGTACATTATTCACAGAAGGTTTTCTAAACTTGAGGCACATATAGTAACCATCATTAAAAATACCAAATTTTAAAATAAATCCAACTTCTTACCATTTAAATATGAGGTTGAACCAATCACCAATGACTGCCACCCATATCATTTTAGTACCAACCACTTGGTTGAGCTGAAACCAAAGAGGAAAATAAATTGAGAATATATTCCGGGGATCTCCAACATGTGACATAAAATTAAGGAAATCCTGGTAAGCCCTGTAGTCCCTCTGTAAATGCTGAATGATAAGCACGCCATTGCTATGAAGGAGATCCATCTTAATGGATTAAACAGTACTTGAAATATAGTAAAGTTCCTTTAATCTTAAGGTTCTAGTGATGGAGAATGAGAACCATGGAAGGGAGCTATTAAAAAGTGAGAGAAGGTGATTGACGTTGCCTTTATATTGTATCGGCGTGGTGTACCCAGCCATTCCTGGAACACGTGGCTCCAAATCTCCGGGAAAGCACATGAGGCTGTTAGCACTGGAAAGCTTTTCTGTTTGCAAATTTTAATTGGAGGAAACTAAGTGAAGTACATGCTGAGCAGCAGCAAATTGTGGGGAAAGTTTTGTGGAAACACAATGCGTGACTTACGCAATCCTTTGTATGCACAGTTGGAACATGTTTGCTTGAATTTTTTCACAGTTCATTTCTCTGCAGGATGGACACTAGTAATGTGTATACTTCATTAAGTGTTGCCTGTATAAAGGATAGAAAGAATACACAAATAATTGGTCTTTGCAGAACTGTCATTAAAGCTGTACATTTCACTTTGAAATAGAAATTGGCTACCAGGCTGCGTCTGATACTTTGCACAACACATTTTCAGTCACTGAAAATACAACCAGCATCCATACATCAACAATGCTGTTGAGCTCTAGATTCATTTTTAAAGCAGCAATATTCTCAAAGCACTGAAAAACAACTGTTTCCTTCATACAAGAGGCCATGTTAATCTGGGGCACAATGCAGATGAAGCTTAGTCTCTGAGTCATCTCATTCAGTATCGCCATTGTCGCATATTGCTTACACGATGCAAGTCCTACACACCTCTGCCAGAAGGAGCTGAAGCCTGACCTACTGCAGCCCCCTTCTTGCTGCCCAGCCTAGCAGAAATGAGACCTGCTTCACAAACCAGAGCAAGGTTGGGAACAGATGATTATGAGTATTTCCCTGAAGTATTCCCAAGTGAAGCACTCGGGTTCTCCAGGGCGAATAGCCAAGATGAAACTGAGATTCTGCCAGATAGCAGGATTTTAAGAGTATACAGCAAATAATGGATTAGCACATCAGATTTATCAATATTAGTACTAATAACTGTAGCATAGGAAAAGACTATGTTCATTTGTGAGGCGGCTATATGAGAAACTTTTTTCCACAAGAGATTAAATGGATACCAAAAGCCTGATGATACCATCATCTGATATCATCAGAGCGGCAAGAGGAAAACTTCAGTTCTCTATCAGGGTCTCTATATTTGTATCTTCTATTAAAGATTATCTATGTATCTGAAACAATGAAAATCAGAAAACAAAAGCAGCTGTATATATGCACTGCACACTTCCCTACTGCTTTCTCCATGGCACTTAAAGCTAAACTATACAAGCTGTGGAGACAAAGATATGAAGTACTTAACTGTTTTTGCTGAGGAGCGACTTAACGGCTTAACAGGGCTTTATGATGTGTGGTCAAGGAAGTCACGTGGAAACATTAAGTAGATTCAACAAATAAGGCATGACAATTAAATGGACTTAGAAGACCTCTCTTCCTGACACAATCTCACATTTACTTTAGCCACTCACATTTACTTTAGCTATTAATAGTCTGCTTTTAGAAACTTTTAGCGGATTTAAATCCTATATGTTTATTGCTACCAGTTGCATCGAGCCATGTAGAAAACCTTAAAAAGATTTAAAATTCTATGCACTGTTTCTGAATAACTACTACTTTTGCTGTATTGAATTGACGGAATTATTCACTTAAATTCATATCACCCGATTTCAAGCAAAACCCTTCCAAAACCAAAATTTCAGGATATTTCAACAATAAATATTTCCTAGCTTTTTAGCTGCAAATATTTGGGGATGTTTCTTTCTTGCTAAGCCGTATGGCTTACAGCTTTTGAGGGTGTCCAGCAAGGGAACTGTCATATAAATTAACTGACGGAACTAATTTTCCCTCTCCTAGTTCTTTCCCAAGAACTTACTTGTTTAGAAACATTGCTCTCAAATAACTTTTTATACGTTATTACTAGAGAAAATGTCCTTTTTTTGTCTGCAAAAGTATCTCTCCTTTAAAGATAAGTAGGACTTACAATAACAACAGCAATAAACCCCACTCTTTTATACGTGTCTGGGTTTAGTATGCAAAAATGTGGAGAATCTGAGGTTTTCTTCTGTTTTTCAGTCTAGTTTATAAAGAATAATTAGCTTTAAACATGAGTGTAAATGTCAAGTCAGTCGGTGGCTGAGTAACAGCTATCTTCCTTCTAGTACTTAGTTAAAACTATCAACTGTAATGAGGTTGAGTCTAAATAACTATTGTTCTATTAGGAAAAATATTTTGCAATAAGTAAGTTTCCATCAAGATACAATTTAATGTCCTCAGGAGAGTCTACCAAGTAATACAATAGATCACCTTCCAGTCCCTCTTTAATGCCACCATTGTTATTAATAGTATCAGAAAAATTGCCTCTCTGACGCAGGATGTGCAGGACCATTGCAATAATTTTTTGCATGTTTGTTTTATTTATAAATATAAGAACACCCACCCATGTTACCCACTGGGATAGTGCTGCATCTGCTCAGGCTGAACTCTTCTTCAGACCACTCAGGCACACTTTGGTTCTCCAGAAACTTTGTTAATATATAGTGTTTGAAGGTATGTCTTGGCAACGTTTCAGTAAGTAACCTCTTTCAGTAGAAATCCTAAAGGCCTCCTGATATTAATTTTCATTTTAAAGATTTTGCTGCTGATTCATATGCTGCTAATTATCTTTCTGCTTAGATAGATAGAAAGATAAGCACCTTAGACATAATGAAGACTAACAGCTAACAGCAAACATAAGTAAGCTTTAATTTTCTCCTACATTCTTTCTGACTGTTTCAGAAGCTCCTACATCCACATCTTAGACATACCAGAGGAGTCATATTTATAAAAGAAGTTTAAAAAGCCAAAACCAAATCCAGAGTCTACAAAACAGAAAGCAGGAAGTTTTTGGAACAGGTAAACAGGTTTCTGTGAGCGAGGTAGTTCAGGTGATGTTCTCATTGTGCCTGGAAGCACTCATGATCCTGCTTCATCCAAGAGGCAATCAACAGCTGACATGTGAGTCATCTCTTGTCCTGCCTGTGATATTCAGCAACCTATAAAAGTCTGAGACACTAAAGACTTTCCTAGCTCTAGTAACCAGCAGAGCAAAGATGGCAAAACATGTCTTGAAATACTGTCTTTAATAACTCGTTTAAACTAACAAAGGAGAAATACTTCCTCAATAAGCCTTTTTTCCCTCCTTTTCTATGCAAAGCACTATAAAATGCTTCTCTAATGCGCATAGTATTTTAAAGTCACTTGAGATAATACATGAAATAAAACTATTTGCTGTATTTTAGTACGTGGAATTGCGAGGAAAACTAGTGATCTGTACAAAATGGTCAGAATGTGTATGCAATTAAGTTTTTAAATCAAAGCTTTGTCTTGTTTTGATATTACAGAACCAAGGTTTGGCCTTCACATGATCAAATGGGTTCTTAGTGCAAAGCAAAAACCTTTAAAATGCTATCTGTTCATATAAAGAATTTTTAATTTATTGGTATTTTCTTGATTTATTTTATTTTCTAAGACATACAAAACCAGAAACTATCCAAAACTTTATATATTCTTGGTAATAATGTAGAAACAAGAATCATGTTGATGATTCACTGAAGGGAGGATAAAATGTTTACAGCTACTTTACACCTACATATTAGAGCAAATATTACATAATGGATATCAGATGTTGTTAAGCAAATGTTTGCAAGAGAAGGAAAAGCCATCAAAGCAAACATTTTCTAAAACACTGTTAATGGAGGCCTATGTACTGGGCCTAACTTTCTGGTACATTATGCTTAGTTAATTGAACAATAACATTAATTTTCACATCAGTGTTTTCACTGGCACTGGACCAGCTACAAGGATTAACTAGTAATCTAGTAAGTTCACAAGTAGACACTGTGTACAACAACTGACAGCTATTTTCTTAGGTATGACTATTTTCCAAATTGAACACTGAAAAGATACATCTTAATTTTAGATTTAGGAAGAGAAGAATCTTTCAAGAAGCTCTTTCTTTCTTTCCCTGTTTCATTCCCTCAAGCATTCCTCATTGGATCCAGGCAGCCCTAGTAAAGGTCAGGCTTCTTTAGAGCTGGACTGACTGGTAGAGGTTTAGCAAATGCTAACAGAAACCAGTTGCTTTCTCTTGGTTCTGCCACCTTATTATTCTAATTTTTCCTAGTTACTACACTGTCATTATTCCTTGCTATAAAGTTAACTATACACATACAGGAAACTAACAAACCTCGTGTTTGCAATGTAAAAACAACTGCCAGACCTTAATACTTGCTTATATTTCTGTGTGTTTGTATGTGTAACAGTGTAAATGATACAAACAATGCATGGAATACAATTCTGGCATGTTCATGAAAAAAAGTCACATCTAAGGAATTCTAGTTATTATAATTTTAAGAATGAACAGCTACTTTTTAGAAATTACAAGCAACCTAGAGTTTAATGGTGAATAAAAATCCTTCAAGTTCCATAAACTGCAAGCAGAAACGGAGTCTGGACCCATAAGGGCAACAATCTCCACTGCATTTTTATTGTTCCCTTTCCAATAAGATCACTGCCTTATTTATTGCCATTCTCTAATCCCTGACACTAGCCCCATGCCAACCACAGCCCAGTGAGGTTAGAACCTGCTGAGAGAAGTAGCTGAGTCTGTTTATTAGCACCAGCTCTTCAATTTTGTGTTCCCTTAGCAAGTTCCACCTAAGCTGCAGTAGCTCTCCAACCCTGAACTATAGCTCTCAACTACTCCTTAACCCAGCACTGGAATAGCCCAGTATGGACTTTGAGCAATAAAATAAAGCAACAGATCTTTGCTGGCCATAGCCTGCCCTCCAGTTTGATTGCAGGTTAACTGTCACCCTGCTGCAGTTGTCGTACATCTCAGAACCTTAAGTTTAACCAAGTACCCTAGGGTTACAAAGACACCTATGAAGAGCTGGCAAATGCAGAAAAGGGGTAGGTGATACAATTACATTGTCTCCAGCAAAGCTCACAGTGCTTGAAACAGGGTAAATCGCTGTTGAAACTTTCTTCCACCCATGACTACCCTGTGGCTTGATATGACAGACATTTAGAAAAAAACATTTCAGAACAAGTGTCTGGGCTAGAGTTACGGTAAAGTTGGGTGCCAGCGTTTCTGACTGTGGAGCCTCTTGAATCAGACCTAGCAGAGGATTTAAGAAGCGTACGACCTGTGCCAGTTTGGGTCATGAGGCCACATCTCTCTTTGTGGTTGGTAAGAGCCGTCAGTTTGAACAGAAAATAGTACCTGCTAAAATCGCCATGCTTCATTTAAACATGCAGTTGATAAGCTGATTATGGAGAGAGTTCATAGTGGGCAAGTAAGGTTGAGTATAGGTTATACTGTAAGT